AGCCTTCGACAATTCACGTGGCCTCAAAGTGCACCTGGCCTGGCACAGGCGTCGTGGTGACGTCGCCGTCGCTTAGTGGCGAATGGGGGCTGTTGGTATTGGATGATGATGATGGTGGTGGTGGTGACCAGCGTTCTTCATTGCAAGGTGCGCGGGCCACTAACGGCCCCGTGGTGGCCCTTTAGTGCGGCCACCGACAATACACAAAGAGTGAAAACACCCCTCCCCCCCCCACCCATCATCATCGTCATCGTGCTGTCGTCAAACCCCCAATGGTCGCAAATGCTGTGGTGGCCCTCACGTACCGATGATGTCCTATCGGCGAAAGTGTCGCCCACCCCGCTCCCCCTCTGAAAATGAGTGAAGGAGACCACTGGTGGTGGTGGTGGTGGTGGCCACCCGAGTTCGATCCCCGCTCACGGCCACCGACACCAGTGACGATTTTATGAACCGGGCCTAGGCCTCCCCTAGGTCGACTCAGCCTCAAGTGGGTACCTGGTGCGGTTTGCGGGGCGCCATGGTGGTGGGATGTTAACTACCTCGCCCGGTATGCAGGAGGTCGTGGGTTCGATTCCCGGGACCCTGACGCCTGCTGTACATTTGGAGTTTGCGGTGTCTCTCTCATCATCATCATCATCACAGTGGCTGGGAGATGTTAACCCGCCTGGCGGCATCGATAACGACGATGAAGTAGTGAGGGAGACGCCAGGAGACGGAAGGGGGCGAGACACAACATTTTTTATTTGATTTGATTCGTCCCACGTCGAACGAACGCGGGATGGCTGGCCCGTCGGCATTTCCTCGCCCTCTGGGTTGAAGTCCGTGAGCTGAACCAGAGAGCGGCACGGATACGGACACACGCGCACACAGGCACAGACAAAGATCACCCGTGTAGCCCTGTGACAGAATGTTGGGGCAAGTGCCGTTAGCGAACAACAGCAGCAGCAGCAGCAGCACCGATGTGTCGCTCGTTTGTCATCCCCCATCCCACCGCCGCACCTCCGATTAGCACGGCTGGCTACGCACGGTGCGAAAGAAGTTCAACACGCGTACGTACATGGCCGGCACGGCCCACGAGGGGGTGGCCAGCACCACGCCCGGCCGCCTTTGTCTCCCCCAGTGGCGATTGTTTTTATTTTACTTTACACACCGCTACCGGGGACTCATTTGAGACTGAGTCGACCTAGGGGGAGGCCCAGGACCGGCTCAGATAATCGTCACCGGTGTCGGTGGCCGTGAGCGGGAATGGAACTCGGATGGTCCAGGTCCGTGGCTGAGCGCGACGACCGTTGCGCCACCGCTCCTCACACTCAGCACGCAGCGTCACAGCCGCACCTCGCGTCCCATGGAATTTGTTCTTGGCTCCCACACCCCTCAAACTCGCCCCAAACCCACCCACTTCTCCCGCAACAAGGTCAGAGGGATCTGCCTGACGCAAGTGGCTCGTCGCCTGCTCGCAGCTCTGTGCCAATGGTGGACATTCCACATTCATATGGCGGGGCGCGAGTCGATCCACGGGACAACCTCAGTTGGCTTCTTCTTCGCCACAAAGAACTACCTATTGTATCGACCACCTGAGCGATGATGATGATGATGGGGGGAATTAACCCCCTGCAACCGGGGGATTGGAATTTAAATTCAGGATCTTTTTTTTTATTGAGAGCCGCTCCCTCCCTCTGCCGCTGAAGCCACGTGGCAGTAGGGAAATATGTTTCGGAGCACAGCCCAGGGCAGCTCCCGACGAGAGACTCGCGGTACTGGGCATGCCCCACAGGACCTCCGCCAGGACATAGACGGCGCCTACAACACTCGACACAGCGGGCACACCTCCCTCCCTCCCTCTCTGCTGGTCTCAAGCACTCATGCGGCCTGAGACTCACGCATTGGTTGTGATACTCACGCATTGCACGTGAGACCCACGCATTGGACGTGAGACTCACGCATAGCACGTGAGACTCACGCATAGCACGTGATACTCACGCATTGGACGTGATACTCATGCATAACACGTGAGACTCACGCATTGGACGTGAAACTCACGCATAGCACGTGATACTCACGCATTGGACATGATACTCACGCATAGCACGTGAGACTCACGCATTGGACGTGATACTCACGCATAGCACGTGAGACTCACGCATCGCACGTGAGACTCACGCATAGCACGTGAGACTCACGCATTGCACGTGAGACTCACGCATTGCACGTGAGACTCACGCATAGCACGTGAGACTCACGCATTGGACGTGAGCCTCACGCATTGCACGTGCGACTCACGCATAGCACGTGAGACTCACGCATTGGACGTGATACTCACGCATAGCACGTGAGACTCACGCATCGCACGTGAGACTCACGCATAGCACGTGAGACTCACGCATTGGACGTGAGACTCACGCGTTAGGTGTGAGCCTCGTGACGGCGTCACCACGCGGCCCAATGAAACATTTAGTCGCACGCAGCTGCTGGCGAGTTTTGGATGCTGCCGTGTTGATAATTCACAACGTTGGGGGGCATTGCTTGCGGGGAGGGGGGGTGTGATGGGGGTGTGATGGGGGGGAGGGGCTGTGGGGAGAGGAGGTGAAAGTGGTGGTGGTGGTGAGTGTAGCGGTGAGCGCAACGCTGCGCTACGAACCCGGGGACCTGAGTTCGATTCCGGCTCACGGCCAGCGCCAGTTAATGATGATCTGATCCGGTCCTGGGCCTCGCCTAGGCCGACTCAGCCTTAAATGAGTACCTAGTGCGGTGTGTAAACATCGCCACTGCGGAGACAAAAGCGGCCGGGCGTAGTGCAGGCCACCCACCTCCTCGTGCGCCGTGCCGGCCTTCATTAGTGCCCTACAAAAGTACTTTCCCCAAGAGTCTGTTGAGGCTATAGGGGAAATCTTTGTCTTTGTGCATATGCGCGCGCCCGTGTGTGCTGGTATCATGTGCAGAGCGGTGGCGCAGTGGTTAGCGCCACCGCGCTGTGAAGATGGTCACCTGCGTTCGATTCCCGCCACGGCTAACATCAGTGGCGAGTTTTAACTGAACCCCACCCCCCCCCCCCTTTGACTATCCCCATTGAAATGGTGAAGTATGGTTAGAAAACCCCCATGACTGCCACAGCAATCACGGCCTTCATCCAGCAGTGGATAGAGAGAGTTTTAGCGAACTTTGGCGTTGGATGATGAAGAATCCCATGGGATTTAAACATCGTACAATCTATCATTGCATTGATGGTGATAGTGATTCGGGTGATGATGATGATGGTGGCGATGACAATGATGGCGGTAATGATGATGGTCACGATGATGATGATGATGGCGATGATGATGATCATGGTGGCGATGCTGATGACGATGAGGATGATGTTAATTCGACGAGAAGGAGGAATTATTTCACCGAACCGGCCAACTCCGACATGTACTCACAGCCTCGGTTCGATCCCTGTTATGTTATGAACAGAGCAAGGCTTGGCTCTAGAGCTCGGGGCTGGGGTTAGAACTAGGCATAGGGTTATGATTATGGATCGAGTTGACAGGAGGGCAATGGCTGGTGCAGGGTTCAGAAACCCAAAGAACAAGAAGGGCTGAAACAATAAGCAGGCAACGTCACGAAGTCCCTTCAAGAGCCGCACGCGCCGCCTGGAGCCCCTGGGGGCGAGTTTTCGAGCTGCGGTTCAGGGCTCGGGTGGTAGCTTCGGAGCTCGAGACGTCGACATTCTTTCAAGTGCCGCGCCTGGAGATCGGAGCGAACCGGTGACCTCTGGGATCGCGAGTCCTAGCGCGCTCCCCATGACGCCACACGCGCGTGAGTGGCACCGATGATCAGGCGTAGGAGGCTTTCGCGGCCAATATCATCCATAATATAAAAAGGGTTCTTTTTTTTTTGGGGGGGGGGGGGGGTGGTGGTTAAATCGCGTAAATATATCACTGTGTCCATACTCTTTGGTTCGTTCGGTAAAGTCGCGTAGGTGTAGAATAAAATAAATGTAATCACGACGTTTCGATTGCAAATCATCATCAGGCGGTTTTCCCAGAAAACCACCTGATGATGATTGCTTGTGTTGCAATCGAGACGTCGTGATTTAATTTATGTTATACCCACGTGGTGACTTTACCGAAAGAACCAAAGAGTATGGATCCCTGCAGTCACGAAAACTTCAAATCTAGATATCGCTGTGTCGTTAAACCCGCCAACACCCGACACGGCCAATTAGTAAGGTTTTATTTTGATTTAAAGCTTTCGTGACTGCAGTAATTCATATTCTTAGCTCTTTCGGTAAAGTCACGTTGAAGGGAAACAATAAAATAATAAAATATATATAAAACAATAAAAATTCTCACGACGTTTCACCTGATGACGACCGTTTGTGTTATGGTCGAAACGTCGTGAGAATTTTTATTGTTTTATATATTTTTTATTATTTTATTGTTTCCCTTCAACGTGACTTTACCAAAAGAGCTAAGAATATGAATATAGTAAGGTTTTGTCGTGTAAACGTAAACAAACCTATTGGCATGTTCTGTTCACGTGACATACCGACACTGTGGACGGCACTGATGGCGTTTGTTGTCACCGATGACGCTCCTTACCCTCATCGGTGTTCTACCGGCAGCAGTCTTACAGTTCAAATTATAACAACGGCCACCACGACATTGACGCCGTGCCGCTGCTGATGATGGGTGGATCTATTTACCGTTAATTGATTTGGGGGGGGGGGGCGGGGGGTGGGGGTGGGGGTAGGGGGGGGGAAGTGCAAACAATAAGGGCGAGGCCGGGGAAAATATTTTCTGGAGTTCAGCCCCAAATACTCCAACACGAATCACGGTGCAGTGGCGGGGTCCAAGGAGTTTGGGGGGTGAGGGAGGGGATTTCGTCAACCGCTCCCCGACCCTGCAGACTCCACTTGAGACCACCTAAAATGCGCATCGCATTGACGTTTAACGGGCTAAGACATATAGCTATGGGATGAAGCTGATAATTATTGATTAAAAAAGAAACGAATCAATCCGTCAATGCAACGAGTCCCGGATTTCTGTACCGCAGAGGTGGCAACACGAGGTTTAATCGATGCATTCATATTATCGCGCACATCTTATTGATAATCGACGGGTACAACAAAAAAATCATACATCATCGAATTAATCTGATTATTGATTCAAATTCATCAATGTACGGGGGGGGGGGGGCGGGGGGGGGGGGGGGCGGGGGAGGGGCACTGTTTAAATAGCTTGACATTTCCAGAATCCCCTCCCACCACCCCCACCACCGCCACCGCCCACCCACAAACTTGAGAAGGGTCTTGAGGATTCGTCTCCCCACGCGTCGCTTTACTCCGTCCACGCGGGGAGGTTTCGAGCGGAAGAAAAAAAAACCGCACCCGGACAATCGCTGCGTCAGGCGAGCACGCGGAGACACGAACACGAACGACGCCTATGAAGCAGCCTCGATATCGCAAACACCGATACACAGAAACAACGGTAGCAGCAGCAGTAGCAGCAGCAGCAGCAGCCCAAGACCAGACATCGCACAGCAGCAGCAGCTGTAGCGTGGCACAGAAGCAGGCACATGGACCCAGGAGCCGGTACATCATCATCATCGTCGCCGCGGTCACGGAAGCGAGCTCACATTAAAAATCACGCGTCCTCCCAGGCCTGAACTTCTAGCCTTGGTGATGATGATGGTGGTGATGATGATCTTGATTTGAAGCTTTCGTGACTGCAGAAATCCAACACTCTTTGGTTCTTTCGGTAAAGTCACGTGGTAGGTAGAAATAAAACAAACATAAATGACGACGTTTCGGACGCAACACGATGATGATAATGGTGGTGGTGGCGGTGGTGATGGTGGTGGTGACATTTATTTATTTCCGATTCATGATGGAACAATTTTTCGGAAGGGGGTCAGATCGGAAGGGGGTCAGATCGCCACGCCAGTTAAATCTCTGTGTCGTGCACTCTTCCTCCACCCGACACGGCAGCCTATGGATAGTTACCACGCGGTGAACAAATGTGGCCGATATATTATTCACTCCTTCAGTAGCAGCAGCAGCAGCACCAATTTGGAGGTACGACGTTTCGCTGGTAGTGACAATATCAGGCAGCAAGAACGGTGGCGAATAATTACCTGGTGCGGTGTGTAAAGCATCGCCACTGGGGAGACAAAGGCGGCCGGGCCTGGTGCTGGCCACCCACCCCCTCGTGTGCCGTGCCGGACCTTCACAGGTCCTCACGCACAGCACTTGCCCCTAGCGGTCTGTTAAGGCTACACGAAGGGGGGGGCGGCCCGTGTCTTTTGGAGGCTTGTACGACATTGCCACTTCTCCCTCGTTCTCATTTGAGGCCGAGTCGACCTAGGGGAGGCCCAGGTCCGGTTCAGATAACCGTCACTGGGTGTTGGCCGTGAGCGTGGATCGAACCCGGGTGGCCGGGCTTCGAAGCGCAGCGCTGCGCTAACCGCTACACCCACCGCTCCCACGACCGCTCCTACGACGCACGCGCGCGGCGATGCGACGCAAACCAATCGGCCTCGCCGCGTGCGGCACGCGGCTGCCTGTGTCACTCCAGGTGCGGATGTCGTCAAGAGGCGAGGGTGGTGACGGGGCGGCGCCTCGCAGCTTGGCGCAGCGAGCAGTGCACCACCGCGTAGGTGAGACCGAGGGCGGGGGGCGGGGCGGGGGGCGGGGGGCGGGGCGTCACGGGGAAGCGGATGCAACGGGAGCTCCGATTTCTCAGCATCACGAGGACTAAGATCTCTGGGAATAATCTCTGGGAATCACCTCTGAGAATCATCTATGGGAATCATCTCTGGGAATCATCTATGGGAATAATCTCTGAGAATCATCTCTGGGAATCACCTCTGGGAATCATCTCTGAGAATCATCTCTGGGAATCATCTCTGAGAATCATCTCTGGGAATCATCTCTGATAATAATCTCTGAGAATCATCTCTGAGAATAATCTCTGGGAATGACCTCTGAGAATGATCTCTGGGAATCATCTCTGGGAATCATCTCTGAGAATCATCTCTGGGAATCATCTCTGAGAATCATCTCTGAGAATCATCTCTGAGAATAATCTCTGAGAATCATCTCTGAGAATCATCTATGGGAATCATCTCTGAGAATAATCTCTGGGAATCATCTCTGGGAATCATCTCTGGGAATCATCTCTGAGAATCACCTCTGAGAATAATCTCTGGGAATCACCTCTGGGAATCATCTCTGGGAATCATCTCTGAGAATAATCTCTGGGAATCACCTCTGAGAATAATCTCTGGGAATCACCTCTGCGAATAATCTCTGGGAATCATCTCTGAGAATAATCTCTGGGAATCATCTCTAGGAATCATCTCTAGGAATCATCTCTGAGAATAATCTCTGGGAATCATCTCTGGGAATCATCTCTGGGAATCATCTCGGAGAATAATCTCTGGGAATCATCTCTGAGAATCATCTCTGAGAATAATCTCTGGGAATCATCTCTGAGAATCGTCTCTGGGAATCATCTCTGGGAATCATCTCTGGGAATCATCTCTGGGAATAATCTCTGAGAATCATCTCTGGGAATCATCTCTGGGAATCACCTCTGGGAATCATCTCTGAGAATCATCTCTGGGAATCACCTCTGAGAATAATCTCTGAGAATCATCTCTGAGAATCATCTCTGGGAATCACCTCTGAGAATCATCTCTGAGAATCATCTCTGGGAATCATCTCTGAGAATCACCTATGGGAATCATCTCTGAGAATCATCTCTGGGAATCATCTCTGAGAATAATCTCTGGGAATCATCTCTGGGAATCATCTCTGGGAATCATCTCTGAGAATCATCTCTGGAAATCATCTCTGAGAATCACCTCTGAGAATCATCTCTGGGAATAATCTCTGGGAATTATCTCTGGGAATCATCTCTGGGAATGATCTCTGAGAATCACCTCTGGGAATCACCTCTGGGAATAATCTCTGGGAATAATCTCTGGGAATCATCTCTGGGAATCATCTCTGGGAATCATCTCTGAGAATCACCTCTGGGAATCACGAGAGCACGCCAGCGATATTCTTCACTCGTTTTCAGAGAGAGGGTTCCGGAGGGAGTGGAAGTTTCGCCAATAAGACATCATCGATGTGTGAGGGTCGCCACGCATTCGCGACCGTTTGGGGCGTTTGACAGCACCATGGGCGGTGTTTTCATATTTGTGAATTGTCAGGGGCCACACCAAAGGCCCACCAGGGGCCGCCAGTGGCCCGCTGGCGCTAACACTTTAAGTCGACATCATCTCGATTTCTCTTGTGTGTGGGTGTGTGTATATACAGGGTGGCCATCGGGGAGCGGTGGGGTCGCGGTTAGCGCTACCCGGCGACCCGAGTTCCATTCCCGCTCACGGCCAACATCAGTGACGATTATCTGAACCGGCCCTGGGCCTCCCCTAGGTCGACTCAGCCTCAAATGGTGGGGTGTGTACACGTCGCCACTAGGGAGACAAAGGCGGCCGGGCGTAGTTGCTGGCCACCCACCCCCTCACGTGCCGTGCCGGCCTTCATAGATGGTCGCTAACAGCACTTGCCCCAACAGGCTGTTAAGGCTACACGGACGGTCTTTGACTTTATACAGGGTGGCCCAAAAGTCAGGACACGTAGGGTTCTTTAATTTTAACACTGGCATTAAAACAAATTGCTTATTATTATTATCAGTTAATATCGTATCTATTGTCATTATTTATATCTATATATTTCTTATTCTTGGTTCTTTCGGTAAAGTCACGTAGAAGGGAAACAATAAAATAATAAAAATATTAAACAATTCAATTCTCACGACGTTTCGACTGCAACACAAGCAATCATCATCAGGTGTGAAAACCACAGCAAGAAATTTTGAAAAAAGTGGCGGTGTTTTTATAACCTTAGCACCACGGAGAGCGATTTGGCAGTTATTCAGATGGGCGAGTCCATCTATGTTCGGAAAAGAGGAGGGGGGAGACGAAAATAATGGATGCGGTCTGAAAGCCACCGTAAGCGTGATCAATCAATTAAGACCCGAAATGGTTAATCATATCCTTCCAATGATTGCTAAGCCAGAATCCATCTTCTCGTCGTGAGAATTGTATTGTTTTATATTTGTATTATTTGATCGTTTCCCTTCTACGTGACTTTACCGAAAGAACCAAGAATATAAGTCCCTGCAGTCACGAAAGCTTTAAATCAAAATTAATATTTATTCTTCTTTTTCAGATGACGTTTAAAAATTTAATGAATTGGAATTGAGACGGAAGATGATTGAGAAGTGTTAAAAGGTTAAAACTGTCATCTTTTATTTTTAAAAAGTCCGAAATTAATTTCAAAAGAGAATTCGTGCAGCATTCAGTCATGTTAATGGAAGTTAGGTTGAACGATTTGTTGAAATAAATGTAATAACCCTATTTGTCCTGACTTTTATGCCACCCTGCATACTGACCCTGTGTCCTGACTTTTAGGCCACCCTGCATGTAGAAATATTTTTAAACGCCCATTGTTGACATTGTTTTGACCCCTGGCACTCAAGCCAATGTACATTTTTTTATTTCACTGCTCCGAGTTGGAATTTAGCCAAATTCTTGTGAAAACTACAGAAATAATTTAACCAGCTGAGGTTGTATGTGTGTGTGTTTTAATGTAGTGTTTGGCAGCTGGGCTGACACCATCTATCTACTCGTTAGACTTGAGCACCCAGTTTAGCCACAACTCAAGTCTCCATGAGTGAGCAGGCCTCTGTGTATGTCTATAGGTATCCATGTACGTCATTGGGTCTCTCTCTATGTGAGTCAATATTCTCGATATATGCCTATAGGTGTCTATGTAAGTCATTGGGTCACCGCGAGTCTATGGATCTGTCTGTAAGTCTATTGGTTTCCATGTAAGCTTCTCGATACGTTGTGAGTCTTAGGCGTCTTTATACCCCAATATGTATTTATATTGTTTAACACGTAAATGTTATATTATGAATGCATCTACATGTAAGTCATTGGGTCTCGATGCTAGTCAGTGGTGACTGAAGTCCTATGTTTGCCCAGAAGAACCCCACTGAGGCTCAATACTCCTTTACAGGAGGGTCCTGCTCAGGGGCGGAGCCAGGGGGATGACAGGGTAGACAATTGTCACCCAAGAAAAAATGTTTAAAACATCGAAAATCTGAAACATTCTGCGTATAAGTGTACGACATTCGGTCTGGCGGACTCCGTGCAACTGCATTGTCAGAGTGTGTCGCCAACCGGTGGCGTCTAAGTTCAACAGCCTGACTCTCTCTAAATCATTCTTGAAATTAACATTTGTTGAATGTCACCCCGGGCTGAAAATCCTGGCTCCGCCCCTGGTCCTGCTACATTGGGACAAAAGGCCAATTCTGTTTTTAAATTCACGCAATATATCCACTCTCCGTTGGTGTGGAGCAGCATGGGTCGAATTCAAATTACAGGGACTCCTCTACTTACGAACATTCGACTTACGAACTTTCACAGATACGAACAAACCCGTCCGTATGTCCAGTTGCCTGTTCGGACTGAGAGTCGTAAGTTCAACCGCCGCGCAATGAATAGATGGGGGTGGTGGCATCTACATCTGCAGAACGTGAAAAGAACCAGTGGCATCTACATCTGCAGAACGTGAAAGAACCAGTGGCATCTACATATACGGAAGATTTGTACAATTTTTTTAAAGGCATTCCCCCGTGTTTAGTGTAGACGCCATAACACGTTTGGAATCGACGGGAGTAAAGTTGGGAATCGACTTATGAATAGACCTCTGGAACATAACTCGTTCGTAAGCAGAGGAGTCGCTGGAAATAATTTAGTCACTGCGTAAAAATACAAATGTGTGATCTAGTCCATGGGCCCACTTCGCTGCTTTCCGGACCAACATTATCCACCAGTTTGTCGGCCCGTCCAGGTAAATCTGAAATATTCGATAGAAAAATTGTTCAGCTCATGATTATTAATGAGGGGGGGGGGGTTGCCCCATGTGGAGCGACGTCACCCGTTAATGGTCATTGGGGAGGGGTGCGGCATGTGGAGTGACGTCACTCCCTCATGGTTATTGGGGAGGGGTGCGGCATGTGGAGTGACGTCACCCACTCATGATTATTAATGAGGGGGGCTTCATGTGGAGTGACGTCACGCGCGGGACACACACACACATTCTTGGCTTATTATATGAGTATTAGCAGCCAGCAGAGTGTGTTTAAGCGAGCAAACTCTGAACCGGCTTCGACCCACGAAACTATTCTTTACTCAACTCTTTTCACCAAGTAATGCTCGCTGAGCAATGCAGCTCTTTTTCAGAAGCTGCCTCGCCACAAATGATAGCTCAGCGAAGTGGCTTATCACGTGCACATTTATAGCTCAGTGGGGCCTTTACCTGATACCATTGTAAAACGTTTAGCTTACGTTTAGTACAGTTGTACTGGTGTCACCTTCACTGGTACTCATCAGCAAACGCATGCTCTGCTGAATACTAAAAAGCGATTGCGTTGCAGACTACGTCACGGTTTCACGAGTAGATTAATTCCACAGTATATCGATGATGACTGATGAAGATAATCACTGACAATCTACTTCTACTACACCATGTGTACACGACATCACCGCTACAACACGACTACCACGCATTACGAGAGACGACATCGCTACTACTCCAGCCTTGGAATCGACAAACTAGAGTGGCCCTTTCTAATTTTTTTTTTACATAGGAAAATAAAACATTTTCTGTTATGTAAACGTTCGCACGGCTTCCGAACCCACATCGCAAGTCACGCCCCTCAAGTGACATCGTAAGTCACGCCCCTCAAGTGACATCGTAAGTCACGCCCCTCAAGTGACATCGTAAGTCACGCCCCTCAAGTGACATCGTAAGTCACGCCCCTCAACCGACATCGTAAGTCACGCCCCTCAAGTGACATCGTAAGTCACTCCCCTCAACCGGCATCGTAAGTCACGCCCCTCAAGTGACATCGTAAGTCACGCCCCTCAACCGACATCGTAAGTCACGCCCCTCAAACGGCATCGTAAGTCACGCCCCTCAAGTGACATCGTAAGTCACGCCCCTCAACCGGCATCGTAAGTCACGCCCCTCAAGTGACATCGTAAGTCATGCCCCTCAACCGGCATCGTAAGTCACGCCCCTCAAGTGACATCGTAAGTCACGCCCCTCAAGTGACATCGTAAGTCACGCCCCTCAACCGACATCGTAAGTCACGCCCCTCAACCGACGTCTTAAGTCACGCCCCTCAAGTGACATCGTAAGTCACGCCCCTCAAGTGACATCGTAAGTCACGCCCCTCAACCGGCATCGTAAGTCACGCCCCTCAACCGGCATCGTAAGTCACGCCCCTCAAGTGACATCGTAAGTCACGCCCCTCAAGTGACATCATAAGTCACGCCCCTCAACCGACATCGTAAGTCACGCCCCTCAAGTGACATCGTAAGTCACGCCCCTCAAGTGACATCATAAGTCACGGCGTCATCTCTTCCTCTCCGTGCTCTCCCTCCATCTCCCTCTCTTCTCTCGTGTTGTGAAAAGGCACTTGGCAGTCTGGAGAAGTCCCAACACGTGCAGTTGTCATCTGCAAACGGTTACAGACAGCAATCAGCCGTGATCAATCCACTGCTGGATAAAGAGACTCCCTAGAGGGTACAAATCCCAAGCAGCTTCTCTGCTATAATAATATCCACCACTTGGCTTACGACCCCTGTTTAGTAGCACGTACTGCGCGGGCTATGAAGAAGTGCCATAATCCGAAACGTTGCCTCATACATATGTTTTATATAAATGAGGCAACAATCAGCCGTGAACAATCCACTGCTATTGACTACTATAATGAGCCAAGAATGTCTGTGTGTCCCGCGCGTGACGTCACTCCACGTCGGCCAGGCCCCCTCATTAATAATCATGAACAAGTGACGTCCTCCACATGGACCCCCCCCCCCCAATTAATAATCATAAGCAGGTGACGTCACTCCACGTCGAACAGTCCCCCTCATTAATAATCATGAACAAGTGACGTCCTCCAGATGGACCCCCCCCCCCTCATTAATAATCATGAGCAGGTGACGTCACTCCACATCGAACAGCCCCTACATTAATAATCATGAGTGGGTGACGTCACTCCACATGGGGGGGGGCGAGGCGCCTCCTCCCCCCTCCTCGGCGTCAACTCACAACCCTCACTACAAAGGCAGAACCCTCACGTCACGTGATCTCACCCTCACTACAAAGGCAGAACTCTCACGTCACGTGATCTCACCCTCACTACAAAGGCAGAACCCTCACGTCACGTGATCCTCACCCTCACTACAAAGGCAGAACCCTCACGTCACGTGATCTCACCCTCACTACAAAGGCAGAACCCTCACGTCACGTGAACTACCCTCACTACAA